AGAGAGAGAGAGAGAGAGAGAGAGAGAGAGAGAAGGAGGGAGGTAGGTTTTATTTATGTTTTGATAAAGCATGATGGGTTATGTTGAACTTAGTTGGATTTAACCAATCACGTTTTATCTAAATATGAATAAAACCCACTGGAATTCATAAACCTAAGTCAGTTATGCTCATTGACATCAACTCTGAGTTGGATCAGCACTGAACACAACCCAGTCAATGTGTTTTTAATGTTTGCTTTTTATCTTCTTTTTAGATTGCTCTTTGTAAGCTACTTAGGGGTCTCCGTAGCTCCGTAGCTCTGTATCCTGTGCATTTTGTCAGATAAATAAAACAAGGATGGCATGTGAATTCAGGAAAAGGAGCACTAACTTTTCCCCTCTACTCTCCCTGAGTTGCAGAGTGACTGTCTGCAGCCAGGAACCACTTGGATGATGTAGAGATCTACTTTGCATGGACAGCCTACATGAACAGAGAAGATCATGTTCTTTTTACTTATGAGGATAATGGCTGAAGAGGCTGATATAAGGTCATGATCAAAAAAGGAAAAACCCAGAAGGTTGCTATTTTATAAAGCATAAGGACAAAAGAAATGCTTTGCTTAATATTTTAGTGAAACGTGGAAATACTTTCTCATTCTCTTTCACTTTGAATTTTTCATATGGTGGAAAGGACGTTTCCCATGAGTAGAACACCAATTTTTCACATTCCTTGCTTTCCTCCATCTATCATATCCTTCCCAACATAGAGTATGGGGGAATCTAGATAGCAAAAGCCTAATATCACTCATAGGACAAAAATATGTGCACTACTTAATATTTTAAAGAAACATGAAAATACTTTTAGTGGCCTTTTAATGGTTTGTGCGTGGTAGTTGGGGCAGTGGGAAGAATACTTGCCTAAGAAAATTTAGGACGCTACTGGAGATCCCAGGGATTCAGCAAAGGATCTTATCTCACAAGCGAACCCTAGATGGGCCACTGTGTTGATCCAGCATGATGTTCTTATGTTCTTACAGGACTTCCATTGCAACAGCTGTTTACATTGAATGTGGCTATAGGCCTATCCACCAAAGTAACCCCCATTTACATAAAAGAACTTTGAGATAATTTGCTTTGTTTTCTGTAGGTTAATTAGCATTTGTCAAGCACTTTGAAGATGTAACATTTGCTTGTGAGAGCTGAGCTCAAAGGTCTCTCTTTGGTTATTTATCCAATGTTGGTTTGTTTGCTTAAATGGGTGGCTACTTCACAGGAATTTCGATTCTGGGAGCTCGATAATTTTTCTCTGGATGCAGATCTTGTTTCAAGTTAGCTCTTTCAGAAAATGATTCCAAATAGGCTTTCAAAGTTGACTAGAAGTTTAATACTTTAATGAATCTCATTAAATGTGAGAAGGAGTGAATTGCCATACTGTGCTCCAGTCAAACAAAGCCTATATTGTCTCAACCACTGTGATGGCCTGGGATTCGGATTCAGATGCTGAACCTGAGGGATCCCAGCCTGCATAGGATTCTCCACCTCCAGAACCAGCTGAGCCGAGGCTGGGGCGTGAGCCTGAAGGGTCCTCACCTGTGCTGGGTCCTCAGGTGCAGGCATCAGCTGAGTCTGCTCTGGCTCCTGAGGTGATGGAGGACCCATTGCCTGCAGGTGCTCCACTATCAGCCCTGTCAGAGAAAGCTGAGGTTGCCTCTGGGTCCGGTAACCCTCCAGCCTCCCCTGAGCTACAGAGGCTCAGGGCAGAGAGGCGGAGGGAACTAAGTTCCCGCGGGAGGAGTGCTCACCTCCAGGCCAGGAGAGGTGAGTCACCATAGGATTGAGGCCGCCCTGTGCCTCAGGGCAGATAAAAGCCGGCCAACCCCAGTCCCAAGTTGCAGGAGCAAAATTGTTGATTGCTAGTTCCTGCCTGAACCCTGTGCTGCTTTTCTGCCAGAGCTCCTGACCTGCCCTGGCTCTCTGCTTGCATGCCTGTTCCTGACTCCACCTGACTCCCTGCCCTGCACCCAGCTTCAGCTACTGCAGACTGCCTCCGTGTTGCACCTTTGACCTCGGACCGGACTTGGACCTTGCCTCTCGGGCTACCCACAGGACCAGCACAACCACTGACATACCCAATTCCACTTGACATCCTTTACCTAACAGGAAGAGGATGGCGCTGTGGTCTAAACCACTGAGCCTCAGGCTTGGCAATTGGAAGGTCGGCAATTCGAGTCTGCACAATGGGGTGAGCTCCTGTTGCTCCGTCCCAGCTTCTGCCAACCTAGCAGTTCGAAAGCATACTAGCATAAGTAGTACCACTGTGGAGGGAAGGTAAACAGCGGTTCTGTCTTCTGGCACTCATCACAGTGTCCTCTTGTGCCAGAAAGCTGTATGCGGACAAACACGGGCTCCCTTGGCCTGAGGTGAGATGAGCATCACACCCCATAGTCAAGGGGTCCAGGGGTCCTTTACCTACCTTTACATTTACTTTTTACCAGGTTCTGCCCAAATAGGACAGGATATCACAGTGTGTAGCTAGGGGCTGCAGGAGGGGCAGATTGCCCCAGGCAGCACTGGGACTACAGGGCATCCGAGCTACTGCATCCCCCTCAGGCACCGTTCAGGTGGAGGGCACCCAGGAGGGACACGGCTGGCATGCGCCAGTCCCACACTGTTTTGAGGGGCAGCACTGGGCCTGCACAACGCCTGAACTGCTGCGTCCCTCCCAAATGGGTGACTGGAAGGGATGTGGCAGTTCAGGAACCCAGCAGGCCCAGTGCTGCCCCAAAAAGCAGCGTGGGGCTGGCATACGACAGCCCTTCCCTCTGGGCACTGGTAGGGCCTGCAACGGTACTGGGATATCACTTTAGCCAAAGCCATCTTTGGTTCCCTGCTAAACACAAAATGGAAGCCTCATAAAAGCTTTCAAAATATCATTGATGACAATGTATAGATACATGTCAAGGCAAGGATCACCCCTGGGGGCACCAGTGTGCCCATCAGCACCTCCTGTAGTGCCTACTAAAGGTCTCAGTAAATATACCCACAAAAACTGCTATGCACAAGAGACTGTTTGCTGTTCCCGCTCAAGGGACTCCTGCCCCGTCAAGGGAAGTAATTGTACCCAATTCTATTCTGTTAATAACACCCTATTCTATTCTGCCTTGATCAGACCATACCGGGAATACTGTGTTTAGTCTGGAGAAGAGGGCACTGGGAGGAGATATGATAGCCATCTTCAAATATCTCAAGAGTTGTCACTTGGAAGATGAAGCAAGCTTGTTTTCTCCTGCTCTGGCGGGTAGCACTCGGCAAGCAGTGGCTTCAAGTTACAAGAAAGGAGATACTGACTAAACCCCAGGTCTGACAGTGGAAAGGTCTCCCTCGTGAGGTTGTGGACTCTCCTTCTTTGGAGGTTTTTAAGCAGAGGTTGGATGGACATCTGTCATGGATGCTTTAGTTGAGATTTCTGCATTGCTGGAACTTGAACTAGATTCCCATTGATGTTTTCCAAGGGACAAGTCTTCAAATGTCTTGCCTAACCCCTGCAAAGCCATGGGAAAATACTCTGAAGCTTTGCTGGAGAAGCTGAATTTTAGACCTACCTCCTGGAAAACTGGGATCGGCAGAGGAGATGAAAGCCCACCCTTGGAATAAGGGGGTCTGCTATTGGGGGTTGTTTTTGGCCTCCACTGCTAGGTTTGGTTTGGTGTTGTTGTTTTTTCAAAACCTGGGGATTCTTTTTGCAGTTTTTATTTTAATTTGAGCCTTAAAATAATTCCAGAGCTGCTAATTCTTGCTTTTCCTTTGAAGTGAGCAGTATGAGCCTCTGAAACTTATTTCCAGACCTGAGTGTGGCAAACTTGGGTGATGTGCCTGCAGAAAATTGCCAGGGGAGGGGAAAAGTGAATACTCTCAGCTATATGGTTTGCAGAATAAGTTATTTCGCACACACCCAAGCACTACTTTTGCTTCCAGTGATGAACAATTTGACATAGCCCCTAATGATATCGATCGCCTGATAGCACAAAAATATATTTTGATGGTCAGCATTATTAAAGGAAATGTATAAAGTGTCAAGAGATGTGAAGCGACCTGAAGTCCTAAAGAAATTCTCAAACTATTCTTCTTTCAGCTGAGGGTTGTGGCCTTTGATGAAGGATCCAGGAGCTCACTATCTTATTAATATGGCTCTTGAAAGTTTCAGAATAATGAGATGTTGGGATGAGAGGAAAAATGAAACATTGTGTGCCTTTAAAGAAAAAAATGATCAAACAATTTGCCCTCATGTGCCAATCAGAAGTGGCAAAGCACAGGAACTCTTTTTCTGTCTCTTCCACGGGCTTTTGAATAAGCGGAGAAAGATACTTTTTATGATTAAGATAATGAAATAAAGTGATTATAGCTGCAGTTGCAAGGCCCCTAATCCTCACAAAGTGAATTCAGGCAGAGAAAGAGGCAGCAGCAGGGTCGATCCTGGAGTCCCCACTTGTGTCTGGGAACAGCTTCTGCCGATGCCCTGACATATAGTGAAAGAGATACTAATCCCAGCATGTAAACACATTCAGTTCACATCCTGAAGATATTCAGAAAGTCAACTAGAAATTACTGGTGTGCAGCAGGGAACCCAGGGGTATTAATTACCTTGCTTCTATGCTGCCACATGGGTGGGTGTGTTGTTCTTGTTTTAAACCTGAGGAACTGAGCTAAAAATAAACACCAACCTCTGCCTTTGAAGCATCACTCTGTATGGGCTACCAAAGACTGACTTTGAAAGCACAGGGATGCAACCATGTTCTTAACTGGAGGCTACCAAGAATGCTCTGGTTACTTTGAGGTATCAGCAACACTATCCTGCATAATAAAATGTTCAAGTCTCCATCATGAAAATGTATGGCTTCATGTGTACATGGTACTTTTTGATGTGAAAAGAGGGTGAAGGAAAGAGGCTTGGTTCTCACAGAGTGGCCTGGTTCACACAGCACCAAGCCAAACCTTGACTTAGCAAAGCTAAGGCAAGCAAGTTCAGAGTGGCTCAGTCAGTAGAGCACAAGACTCTTAATTTATGGGTTGTGGGTTAGAGCACCACAATGGGCAAAAATTTTCTACATTGCAGGGGGTGGGGCTAGATGACCCTTGAGGTCCCTTCCAACTCTACAATTCTATGATTCTATGTGGGCTCCCGGAGAAAAGTCCACAACTATTTTGCTGCCCTCTGGCCCTTTTTATGTTGCAGGTTTTGGCTGGACATGTCCAAACTGGGGCTTTTGGTTAAGCTCTCTCCTCAGTAGCCACAAGCTGTATCCTAGATTTGTTTTGGGTTACAGTTTGTGGTTAGTGAAGAGAGAGATTAGCTCCAAGCCCCTGTTTGGATGACGTGCTAAGCCAAACCTTGGTTTCGCTGGTTGTGGCAGCAAAGAGAAGAAAGGAGGAGCAAAGTGCTTATGAGCCTGCAGACTTGTGCGATTTGGCTTAGCGAATCATGCAACGTAGGTCAGTGGTGATTTGATGGCATTCTTAAAGGTCTATGGGATTACAAATGATATGGAGTTTGCCCAACAACGTTCAGCAATCCCAGGAATAGTCAACAGGAAGGAAGGAAGGAAGGAAGGAAGGAAGGAAGGAAGGAAGGAAGGAAGGAAGGAAGATTTTGAGTTGCATCAAGGGAATTTGCAGAATTCTTTTTTTTTCTTAACATCTGCTACTTAGGATTTGTTAATTTAACAGAGAACTGTTGATGTTTCCTCTTCTCTAACATTTGTCTCATTTTGTGGGGTTAGGCAGGATGGATTGCCGTGGCTGTGCTGCGACAACTTGACAGATTGCAATATCCTTTTGATAATACGTTTGTTGACTAGGGCTGGCCCAGTAGGACTGGCAAGGTCAAGCGACCGCCTTAGGCAACAAATCTGGCCTCTTAAGAATGCATTGACCATGCTGCTGCTGCCACAGTGACAGTGATGTCTCTGTAATGCTTCTTGGAGGCCATTCTGCTCTTCCTCAGCAGCAACCTCAATGTTGCGTCTACAGCAACCTCTCAGCAAATAGGAGGTGTTGCTGGTCCCCTAGGGATGAAATGGCAGGGGCCACCCTCTGGGGTCTCCTAGACCCTGCAGCTCCCCAGCATGAGTCAGATTGGGCCTCTTTCTCCTCTATGATTCCCACTCCAGCCATCGGGTAAGGTTAATTTGATTTCTGACGGAGATATTTATTTCTCCCTTGCTCCTGATATAGATCTTCACTCAGCCCTTCTTCCCTAGTGGTGGGAAGGGACACCATTTTGTGGTTCACCTCAGATGCCAAAATGTTTTGGGCTGGCTGTGGCTTGTTCAAAAGTTGCCTTTTTACAAAATATGCTTTTTGTGATTATCCCGGTGGCTTGGCCAACTTTGTCACTTTGGAAGCCTTGGAGAAGCAGTGGTGAATCTTTGTCCCTGAAAAACTACCTAGGCAAGGAGCTTCCCTGTTGCCTGGGATGAAAACAACTGAACCTGGTTGCTAAGCAACACAATTCTGGGGGAGCAATATCTTCCAGGGGCCTTGAGGATTTTGATCTTTGTGAAATCTAATAAGAACGGACCTGATCTACACCTCCCAGACAAACATGTGGATTGGAACTTAGCTATCTACTGCCTCTCACATTTCCTGGATGTTCTGACATACTTCAGATTCATGCAAAAGTGATGAAAGATTGATGAGTGAACACACACAAAAACAGCTGAATCTGAAACAGAATCAAGTCTACAAAAGCTTATCCCATAATGCAAAGATGAGGAACCTCAGGTCTGGGGGGTCAAATGTGGTCCTCCATGCCTTTCTATCTGGCCCTTAGGACCCTCTCTATTGGGCCACACCCATCCTCAAGCCATTTCCATTCACATACCCCTTTTTCCACTCTTCCTTTTCCTGGCTAGAATGTGACCTTGAAATGTGCCTCTTGCTTGCCTATAAGGAGAGCTGTGAATTAGTGTAAATGGTAAAGAGGGACCATTAAAGATCTGATTTTTTAAAAGCCACTCTGAGGGACTTTTTGGCTAAATGCTTAAAAGGAGCAAAATCTCTCCATGCTTGAACACTCTGATAACTCTCTGGACAAGGACTGTCATTCTCTGAAAGAACTGACTCTCGAGGAGAAGGAAAAATCTTTTGATGGATTTGTCATAGATCTGCCTCAGGTTTTCCGAAGCTCCCTAAAAATTAGTACCTGCAACAGCACTTCTTCTTCTTCTTTACATCTGCTGCACTAAAGTTTAATGAAGTAAAATTAGGAAATTTGTCTTTTTATTATAATCACGAGTACGTTCTCCAAAGCACGCCACCTGAGCCGGTGTGACTGTGGTTTATTTTAGATTTTCACTTAGGCTAATAGTTCGTAAATGACTTTGAGAGGAGAATTAAGAATGCAATGCAGCACCTAAGTGCTGCATTAGCATTGTGCTGTGAATGGTGCAAACTTCCTACTAAACTCCACATTCACAGAAAATGTGTGAAGAAAACAAAACTGTGAATGGTTGCTGTGTGGGCGTGTGATTGGTTAGGCAGGAACTTTTGTCTTTCAAGACAGTGCTGATCCTTCAGGATGCTTCCACAGAGAGACCATGATTCTGACTCTAACAATGAAGTGTAGTGGTTAGAGCAGGGGTGGAGAACCTGTGGTCCTCCAGGTTGTGCTGGATTACAACTCCCATCAGCACCAGCCAATCCGGCCATTGATATGAGATGCAGTGCAACAACATCCAGAGAACTAGTCCCATGGAGAACTGAACTCTAGTGGCAAGGGCCATAGCTCAATGACAGATCATCTGCTTTGCTTGCAGAAGGTCACAATCTTGGTTTCATAGATGTAAGATCCTTCTGACCTGTACACAAGGCATGATTGATTTGAAAAGCAATGTTGATGCTTCTCCAGCTCCAATTTAGTCGTTTTTTTATATTATTGGGAAAGGGGAATAGATTATTCTCAGTACATGACTGCTTCAGGCTTGCTCACTCATGTGCTCCCTAATAAAGGGATGGTCTATTACACCAGCCAGTTCTCAAAAAAATGATCTTTCTGGAATACAAGTCCTACCTGCCTATCAGGATGGACCTCTGTGTACTAAAGCAAAAGGGAAATAAGCAGTTCTAATTGCTGAGAGAGAGATAATTGTCTTCTTCTTCTTTGGCGATCACTCGTAGCCGACTAAGATTGTCTTCCATAAACACAGTTTTAGCAATGAGTCCATAAGTGACTGTGGAGGCCAGTTCTGGATCCACACATCCTTCCACAGTGGGGACATTGGTTTCTGGGCAGGAGTTGATCACGGTGTGGATTTGCCAAGTGTGCCTTCATCTTAGCACGTTTCTCCCTTGTGTCCTGAGTTCGAGTGTCTTCAAAGCCCATGACACCTTTGGTAAAGGCTGTTCTCCAGTTGGAGCACTCACAAGCCAATGTTTCCCAATTGTTGGTGTTATACTACTTTTTTTAGAATTGTAGCATTGTAGGGGAAAATATACCATGTGACTTTGGCTAGCACAAGCAACTGGAAATATTGGGATGCTTGACTGATGTTGCTTTGGGACAGGTGGTACTTGTCTCTGCTTTCCTCCCATTCACTCAGCCTGTACATCTGTCAATAGAGAGAGCCGACGTATGGCTCCACAGCTCCCTCTCTGCTTGTGAGCCTGCTCTGTGAATTTCTACTGCTCAGGGAAGTTTGATACCATTCCAACAGCATCAAACACTCTTTTGTACTTTGATGAGGGATTTGCAACGTCAATGTGCAGCAACATCTGTAACATCTAAAGATACTATTGCTCCCTGCTGTCACAGAGAGATTGTGGCAATAAATGCATTCATTCAAGTCTGAGGTGGTCTTGCAAAGGAGATGACTTGCTGTAGCCCTATTCAGAAGTTATCTGTACCTAACTTCTTCAGTGAGGCAGACTTTGTGACTATACCTGCATGTGTGAAGGATCCCTCTCGACAAACATTTGTGCTATAAAGGAGCAGGACTAGTGAGCACATGTGACATCAGGGGTGTGGCTACCCAGTGGTGCCCCACTAACCACTCACTCATGGATCTTGTGCATGAGCATCAATTCTGAGCAGGAGTTACAGACCCTCCAAGTATCCCTATTTCCCAGGGACCTCCCTAATTGAGAGAAGCCATCCCAGTTTCTGATTTGATCCCGGAATGCCCCCCTTTGCCTTAAGATGTCCCTATTTTCATCCGAGAAATGTTGGAAGGGTATGGAGTTTTCTGACCCCCAAGCCCTCTGAAGGCAATTGTGTATAGGGAAGTGGTTTTTTTTAATGTTTAATGTTTTATTATGTTTTTATATATGTTGGAAGCTCCCCAGAGTGTCGGGGGCAACCCAGTAAAATGTGTGGGGTATGAATAGTAAAATTATCATTATGGAATGGGATGTCCCTATTTTCTTCGAGGAAATGTTGGAAGGTATAGAGTTGTATTTATACCCTGCAACAATAACGGAAAAGGGAACTTTAGGGTGGCTAGTGTTGTGTGTGGCACATTTAAAATAGACCACACAAATATGGAATAGACAAGAAGACCACACAAATATGGAACTATGGAGAAAAGAACTGGCTAGGTCTCCACCCTCAAGTTGTCCACTCACCTGCTGGTGAGAAGAGGATTCAACCCTGCAGGATGCTGCTTCTCAAACCTTCCCTATAGGCTCTGCCACTGCATTTGCACAGTGCCAACCTCCCCAGCTTCTCACACAACCCACTCTCCCAGTAAGCAGCAACGGCCTGCCAGCTAGGAGGTCAGGTAAGTGCAACCTTCCCACCCCACGGTCCACTACAGCCAACATATCAATCTCCTACCATATACCTGTGCCAAATTTGTGGGAACTACACCCTCTCCAAGTAAAATGGTAAATAGCAACTTGAGAGATACACATTTTATAATGAGAGATCCATCAGGGCAATAAGCCCTGAATAAAGCACATTTTGCTATTTTGTTTCATTCCTAGCATTTATTTGTGTGTCTGTTTGACGGCCTTGGGAGAAGTGGCATGCGGCTAGTCGGTCTGACACTCTCTGTGATGGGTTGTTTCATAAGTTGGTTTCATATACAACTTTAGAAAGCAGG